TGTGCGTGTGTGCGCGTGTGTGCGTGTGTGCGCGTGTAACTTCGTGTGTATTTATTTTCGTGCTAGGTATTTCACTCTGTGTGTGCTTGCGTTTTTGTGGGTTTGTACGAATGTGTGTTTTCATTTGTGTGCTAAGTTTTTTTCTATATAAGTGTGCTTGTTTTCTTCGTGTTCATTTGCGTGCTATGTATTTTGCTATGTGCGTGTGTGTGCGTGAGTTTTCGTGTGCGTGCCAGGTACTTTACGTGGATAATCTGTCTCGAGGGATACCGAGACGGGCAGGCAGTCCATGGATGAATGAATGGATGAATAGACGGACGGACGAACGGATGGATGGATGGATAGATGAACGAACAGATGGATAGAAGGATGGATGGACAGATGAATGGAAGAATAGATAAATGAATATCCAGTTGAATGGATGAAATGTATCGACAAATAGAAAGGTGGATTGTTGAATAGACAGCATTTATAAGAATGCTTGCAATTTTTCTTTATTATTATTATTATTATTATTGCGTTAAACAAATGCGAAGACGAAACGTCCCTGTGCCTTCTTGAAACTAAGACAATTTTAAAACAATAAATTAAATAAACCTATGAGTCTATACTGAATAAATTTAAAATAATTAATGTTCTTATAAGTCAAATTATGTATTAAACCTTGTAAAAAAGATAATAAAAAAACAAATATAAATAAATTAATCACTCATCCTAATCAATAAACTGACGATAATATCGATACATACTGATTAAAAATTCGAATATATCCCAATCTCACAAATAGCCAATGTCACATCAAGTATCATTTGCCTTCCAATCATAGATAAATCTGACATTCATAAGATAAGTATCCAACTTTTTTAAAAAAATCATTCACACTATCAGCATTCACAACACCAACACCCAGATTGTTCCAGATACAAATTCCTCAAGTTCTTATGGAATGGAAGAGCAGTCATTTTTCAATTTCATTTCGTGTCCTCTTGTTCGCCTACCAGCTTTCATCATTACTGGGGCGCGTTGATCTTTAGCAAGTTATACATCATGATGAAAATAGAAAGTTATACATCATGATGAGATCCCCTCTAATGCGTCTGTATTTCAGTGTTGGCAAGCTCAAAAATTTTAGACGATCTTTATATTTCATATGTTTGCAGGCCTTGATCGACTTTGCTGCTCTTTTCTGGACCCTTTCTATCACCTCTATCATTAGGCAATGTAGATGTAACAAATCGAAAGATGTTCAGATCAAACGCATGCCAGGCCTGTTGTTCGTCGCCGAAATTAAAAAGTTACTTGCTGGCTAGACTCTGATAACAGCAATGATAGATGGATACTTTTATTATTGGCGAGCATAACACGAACATCTAAAAAGAAAAAAATAATTAGCGCACACGCACACACACGCACACAAACACACATGTTTTGCACTCATGTCTCACTCACTATTCCAAATCTCTGAATATAAAAAGTGCTTAAAAAAAAATTTCAGGTTGAAGAGTATCAACACACGCACATAAGAACAACAACACCCATTGAAACGCAATCATTAAGATGCACTCGTCGCATATCTTGGAATGGTTTCAATTCGGCAATCATTCACTTAAGTGCATTTAAATTTTTTCTGACACCTGTTTATCATTCTGAATGGATAATTATTGCCTTGGAATTTCAAAATTTTTTTTGACCCACTATTGTTCGACTGTTCTTATTATTAAATAGTTCTTATATTCAAAGTGGTTTATGCTAAAATAGCGAATATACAGAGTCCAAAGATATGAAAATAAAAACCAAACATAATAAGAACTTATAAACAAAATCAAATACATAAAACTATTAATACAAACAAAATATAAACAAAATTATTAATTATTAAAAAATGTTTATTAACATTATAAAAATATAAACAAAAACATTATGTACAAACATTTAATTCACATAATTCACTTCTGTATACCACAGTAGTGAATTATGAATAAAAGAAAGTAAACAACTGAAAAAAATAGATTGTATCTCAAATACATGTATGAAGGTACAAGTTCACATTCATGCATGCATTCATCTTTGTATGTAATTCATTTTATCAACATACAATGCTATAAAACATGCATAAACATATGATGCAGTATATATATATATATATATATATATATATATATATATATATATGACACACACACGCATATATAAATATACATATATAATGGCTGATGATGGTTATATATGTATATATACATATATATTTATGTTGGGTTGAGACTTTCTAATATGCAGTTATTTAAAAAAAATCAAAGCATTGCAAATCAAAGAGTTGTTCAATTTGCAGTTGAGTTTTTTGATTTTTCGTACGACGAATTTCAGTTTATTATCAAATTTGTTCAGCTCATAAAACGAACGAAAAAGTGAAAAACTCAATAACAAATTTTTAAACAATTGCATATCAGATAGTTTAAGCCCAATATCTATAAAAACTGCACGGACGAAAGTCACAATGTGGATGACCATGATGATAAACTACAAAAAAAACATAATGAAGAGGATAAAAGAACTAAAACGCTTTGAAAGTATATCTCGACTAACGGAACAAAGCTAAAAACAAAAAGGCAATAAATAATATTGATAATCTTTTATGGAAAATCATAAATAACGACAGACAAAAGAAAAATAAAACTCAACACAAATTAAACAAGACCAGAAGCGCTGCACCAACTGAAGTTTAAGACCACTTGTAAATCTGAGCAATTACCAGCCAACCGAAACAGAAAACCAGTTTTTGAACTTAGGCATTAACTGCCACTACATGAAGATACCATCGCAAATCAGCAAAGAAATAGAAGTCAAAAAGTTGATGGACAACCTACTTCATCTTGAAATGAAAAGAAAATAACTATTGACAGCAACATATCAAATGAATTAAAATCAGAAAGTAAGCAGTTCAGAGAAAGTTTTAAAGGCAAATTATTAACAAAATAGCTTTTAGATGAAGCCAAATCTAACCCGAGAATTTCAACTAAGGTATGCCTATGATACAGTTGAAACTCATAAAAACAGTAATCCTTGACGTTCCACTATAAGCCAAATACCCACCGTCACATATCCAATCGCCAAACTGCTGAATATGAACTGAACAACTTGCTAATGAACTGAAATTCGTCTCATGAAGAATTGAAAAACCCAATTGCAAATTAAACAACACATGCGTGCAATATATATATATATATATATATATATATATATATATATATATATATATATATATATATATATATTGTTCGATTGTTAGATTACGTCGGTTGGTACGGGTATAAATATATAAGCATTTTACGTAATATATATATATATATATATATATATATATATATATATATATATATATATTGTATAACAGACAGCGTTGTTAAATAACATACATATATATATATAGGTATACACACACAATATATGCAATGTATAATGCATATGTACGGGTATCTGCATATATCCTTTTTTTACCCTGAACATCACTTATATAAAGATATACCAATAATAAATATATATGCATTTTCATAATGCATTTGCTTATATTAATCAAATAAATTCATTTATAAATGGACACATCTCTCTCTCTTTCTCTCTCTTCATGTATATATATATATGTACATGATATATATATATATATATATATATGTGTATATATATATGTTTATTTATTTATATATGTGTGTGTGCGTGTGTGCGTGTGTAAGTGAATTACTATGTATATGTAAATATATATAAATTCATATATATACATAAATATGTTGATATGTAAGGGCACATATACATTTAAACATATATACGCATACACAGTCCGACATATATAAGAAAGAAAACATGACTTGAGACAAAGTAGGAATCTAAATCATGCATTAAATGTGTTGGTTTCAATTGGAGTGCCTGTACGTACATTCCTTCGTGTTGGTTGGTTGGCTCTTCCATCTCATGTTACTTGTTTCACTCTCGTTGTTACACACTCTGTTGCACTGGTCAGCAATGAAGGATTATTTTATTGGCATTAATATTAATTATTAATACAAAATATATTATTTAGTTTTTTTCATAATTATTATATAAATATTGATTGATCTTACTGAGGAATTTGAATTTTCGTGAACGGATTATTTGGTGTATAATATTGTAACTCAGTGAGTATTCATATTTACAAATCATCATTTGGATATTTTGCTGACTTCGACAATCGTAAAATCGATTTTTTTTTCTAACGTTAATATTGTTAAATGCAATTTTTTCTCAAATTCCAACAAAAATAACAACAATCGAGGCAACCAATGCCAAAATAAACATCTTCAGCAGAGACTAACAAGCAACATCAGCAAGAAGCACAGAACGTCAGTGATTAAAAAAAGAACAATCTCAACTACAACCACCAACCACTTTGGACAACAAAATAGCAGAAACGTCAACGCTCAGTTTAGCACTTAATGTAACTTTTGCATCGCACATCCATCAATTAATACTTCATCCTTCTTTCATTATCGCGAGTCTTTCCATAACATCGTTCGTGCCACCATCAGCAGCTGGAAAGACTGCATGCTTTCCTTTTTAACGCAACATTACATTACACTATTACATTACAGCGTTACATTACAGAACGTATTTCATTATCATTCTTGTAACATTTTTGTTATTAAGTTTGTAGTAAATATTAATTCTCATGTGGTCATTTGTATATAAATTATATAGGTACATTTGACTGTATCGTTATATTTTATGTTGGAATATGATGTTGTTGATGTTTCTTCAAATTCAAGTTCCGGCATGTTTTCAATAGAAACTAGCTTAATAAATCATTTCCATCTTCATATTGAATACAAAACTTGGTTAACCATTGGAAGAATATTCAAATCGATAGAGTTACTTTGCAACATCACAACACACTGCAGGTCTCGACCGAAGGATTTAATTTCATACATATTTCATTTCAATTCCTAATCTCCTTAAAGTAGAGCAGCACGATGATGGCCCTGCTTCTTGCGATAATTTTAACAATAGCTAACAATTATAATATCGTTAAGTCTTATGGTCAGAATTTTGACTACGAGTTCAAAATCTTGGAGGAGAGGCCTGTTGGTTCGTTTGTGGGCGAGCTGAATGAGTCCCAGTCACTTCGTCATCACAACTTCAACATTACTCCCAGCATTCACAGGTCAGTTTTGTTTTTTAAAATAAAATTTTTTCAAAATCTTTTTTGGTTAAGAACGTTGTTTGATTAAAATTTTTTATGTGTCAACGCTGCATATACTGCATGAGACTTCAACTGCTGTTGTTCCTTCGTTCTAACCTGTTTCATACCAGACAACTTCATTCATTTTCTCTTCTTTCCTTTCTAAGATTTTCTGAACGAGGGCCTTGCTTAAAGTGAGGTAAGAACTATTAAATATAATTAATAGCTTGCCTATGTATGTCTATAGATAAATATTTGCATAAAATAATGATGCTCGGGTACGTTGGTTTATAGTTTGTGTGTAAATCATGTGAACATTTCAAAAATGTTGACAAAAAGTTTTTAAAACTGGTTGTTAACTGAATGAAACATATTAAACAGCATTCCTCATTATCTTTCTTGAATTATATTTGCGCGTTGCTAGTTTATTTAATGATCCACGGTTCACTGTATACAATTTTTAAAATTTATTTTAAAAAATGCAACGCGCATCTGAATAACGAACAATTTTTGCAGCTCCTACTTCTTTCTGAATGGCTCAAAAATTTTAGTGAACAAGCAAATAGATCGCGAAAGTGTGTGCCACAAAAAACTAAGCGATGACTGCCTGCTAACTGTCACACTCGTCGAATCGCAGGGAGCTCTCAGCATCAAACACATCAAGGTTTGCTCTTCTCACTCTCTTCAGTGTGAAAATATTTTTAAGAAATTTCTCAAAATGTAAATAGTTTTTATATAAACTCAAGCCTACGTTGCATGAATCTGGAAAATTGTTGTGCTGAATTACTGTTCAAATGAAGTTAAAATTCATTAAAAAATATTCGGTCTAACTTTATAATTCTATAAATCACATGAGTATTTAAATTAAAAAATAGCATATTACTTCTTTAAATGGTAAAAAATTGAACTGTCAATTTGAATCCATAAAATAATTTTATAATCTGACATATAGTTTCATGAGTTAAAATAGTTTCAATTGAAATGCGAACAGATCTTGGTGGAAGACATCAATGACAACATTCCTACTTTCTCAACTAATCAGGTGATCCTAGAGATTTCTGAAAGCGCTCAGATAAGTTAGTTATTTTTCAAATGTTCTTTTTTTGAAATATATATTCCTGTATGAAGTTATAAAAATAGATTGATTGGAGTTTGTATTTGTTGTTTCGTTTGATGATGAAACCAATGAAGCAACGATGGCAATCCAAGAATATAAACTTCCCCGCATAGAAATAAATCAAAAATATAAAAAGGTTTGACATCTGAAATCTCGTAAGTTAATCCTAGGAAAAGTTGAGATAATATCTACAAGAAAAATGGCACCAACAATGTTTATATTTTAATGAATGATGCATGCTCAAGCAGAGCAGCAAGAAGCAAAATGTATTTCATTGTAAGTAAACGTTCACTTTCAGAAAGATAGAACGCAGCGGTCAAATGAGAAGTAAAAGATTTATTTCGTTAATTGTGTGGGAGATGCTCTATTGATTGGCTATTGACGTTCAAGTGTGGATCGTTCAAACGTACATCATTTTCTTTATTAAGGATGTCCTCATATTTTGCATACTTCCCTGTTGTCCCCTTCAGCACGCTGACCACTGTTCGAGTGCCTATTACTGGCTCCTACGCATTCCTTATTTAATGGCGAGTTTTTTAACAAACGTCTTATGTCGTAGTGTCTTTAAAATTAATTAAGAAAATAATAATAACAGTTGTTTCATTTATCAAAAATTGTACTATAAAAAATTCATTTAACTATCCGAAAAACTTGAAAATAAAAAATGAGTAAAAGTAGCGATGGTTTAATAAATCAGATCAATAAAAACGTTAAACAAATGAATAGTGAAGTACATTCAAGCATACAGACATCCTACAGCAAAATGTTATCTCTCTTCTTCTCTTCGTCTTTACATAGCATACACGAGCGTACATACACAACACACACAAGTGCACAGCACACAGTATGTAGGCATATTTATTTTTAAGTGAAATGCATCGAATTTTAATTGTTATTATTCACTCTAGCTAATGTTAACAAATATGAAATAGTTTAAATAAATCGGTTTGTTTGTCTAGTGGAGAAACCTGTAGTTTGTTTTGTTGAAAAAGTTTTAATCCAGCGTCTGCCGACTTTTAAAGGCTGAAATTTGAGATCTTAAGTAAATAAACGAGCAAATCGTTTTCAATTTGCAGCAGGAAAAAAGTTGCATGATTCCACTTTATCCATAACAACACAGCAAAAAATAATTTGAATGAATTAATATTGTTTCAAAATAACCGTTGAGTTTTAATTTATTATCTTGGAAATTTTAAATGAACGGTATATGTCAGAACTGTTGTTACGGCAAAATGAAAATAATCAGCATTATTCTGTCAGATACGCAGTTGTACATTCCGGTGACAGCAATTGACGCTGATGTAGGAATCAATGCAATTCAGAACTACCGATTCACCAACGGCAAAAATGGCCAAAGCAGCCAGGTATTTCAACTTTCTCTCGGTGACAACATAAATGACCAGGACATATACGATGGGGGCGATCGAACCAATCAACTCGATCCTCGCCTGATCGTTTCTGCTCCTCTCGATCGAGAAACAACAGATCGCTATGAAGGTTGGTTGGAAGCATTCGACGGAGGAAGCCCACCGAATTCTGGAAAACTTTCGGTGATCATCGTAGTGACAGACGTCAACGACAACCAGCCAGTCTTCGATAGATACACGTACGAAACGCACGTTCCTGAAGATTTGGCCGTTGGTTCGATAGTTCTTAACGTCAGTGCTACTGATATGGATATCGAAGAAAACGGCAGAATTCAATACAGTATGCAGAGAACCAGCGCAAGCCAGTTTTTTAACATTGATCCTCAAACCGGTGACGTGTTTTTAAGCAAAGTTCTAGATTATGAGCAACAAGTAAGAATATATTTATTAATAATTTTGAACTTTTGAAATTAATGAAATTTTTTTCAACAGACAAGTCACACGCTTATAATAACAGCTAAGGACTCGGGACCAGGATCTATCCCAGTTGTCACAAAAGCCACAATCCACGTCAAAGATACCAACGATAATTCACCGACGCTATCCTTTGTCAACTCTCCTATCTTCATTCCTGAAAACAAAGAACCGGGAGTTTTGGTTACACAATTCACCGTGGAAGATAAGGATGGGGGTGAAAATGGTTTGGTGAATTGTGGGTTGGAGGAAGAAAATGATTTTGAATTGAAGCAACATCATACAAACGTCTACCTCTTGGTAATTTTTTTTGTTCACATTATTTAATATTCAAGCTTAATTTTAATGTTACTATTATTTTTTTTTATGTTTTTATTGCTCACATTTTGCATTAGAAATATTGGGTAACCATTTCTACTGTAGACATTTCATTAAAGTTTGATTGAAGATATATTTCATTAATTTTTTTGTCATCACTTAGACAGCTATGTTTTATTTTTGGTTAATTAGTAACGGTTCAAACTTGTTAATGTTGTGATGAAGGTGACAAGGAGAGTTCTAGATCGGGAAGAAACAGAAAAATATCGAATCGGAATAACCTGCAGAGATCAAGGCTGGCCCTCCTTGGACACGACTGATTATTTAGAAGTTTCCGTACAAGACGAGAATGACAACTCACCCAAATTTAACTCTTCTCGACACGAAATCAGCACCTCTGAATCATCACCTGTCGGCACGAAATTATTCCAAACGTTGGCTACCGACGATGATGTTGGCAATAACTCGTTACTCGTTTACACGTTTAAAGTCATACAAGTTGATCTTAATCCGAGATTTGATATGATATTTGGCGAAGATTCAAATAAGAATAAAAATTTCAACAGCAAGGCAAACAAAGAAGACACCGATAAAGAAAAATTAATAAGCTCTAACGCAAAATCTGTTGTAGAAAATTGGATGTTTTTGGATCCAAAAATAAATCTATTTGTGGTCAAAAATCAGTTGGATTACGAGTTTGCAACCAAATTTGTAATTGAAATTTTAGTAAGCGATCAAGGTTATCCAGTAAGTAGAACGGCTTCTACACTGCTGGTAGTCAACGTTTTAGACGCGAACGACCAACCACCTGTCTTCAGCATGAAAGCATACAGCTTTGGCACAACTGAAAATAAGGCTGCTTCAACTGAAATAGGGCATGTGACAGCTTATGATTTTGACAGCTCATTGTTTAATCAGTTTAAATTTGCCATTGCGGAATCAAAAAGTGGCTTTGAAGAAATCTACCAGCACCATTATGGAAGTTTTAATCATAGAGATCAAAACGAAGAAACGTTTCAATCAGCAGTTAAAGAGAAAAAATTAATTAGCTCATACGAGATTGCAAATAAAAATTCAAAGTACAAACAACTGAACGATTCCATTCACATGAGGCATCACAACAAACACCATCCACATATCAACGACTTGAATCACAGCCACCGTCACCTCTATCACTTCCAAGATAGAACGCCCAACCCAAACGATTGGTTTTCAATTGACCAACTGACCGGGAAGATCACAACAACCCGGCAGTTGGATAGAGAACAGCATGCCGTTTACAGATTCTGGGTGACAGCCACTGACACAAGTCCTCCACACTACGTCGCATCAGCGGAAATTACAGTCAACGTGGCAGATGTCAACGATAATGCCCCATTAATTACATTTCCCGCTCAACATCAAATCTTCCAAATATCTCCGCAGGTTAAACGAGGTCATTTCATAGCGAAAATGGTTGCCAGCGACGCCGATGTTGGAGAAAATGCCAGATTAACCTATTCAATCGGGAAAGGTAACGAGGACGAGTTGTTCACTATCGACCATCTAACGGGCGAGTTGTTGGTAGCGAAGGATGGCGCGTTCACAGGACTTGCATCAAATTACGATTCTTCTTTCGCTTCATCTCCTGACATTGAAGCGACATACAAACTCGTCATCATGGTCAAGGACAGTGGCGTGCACGAGAAGAGCGCAGTTGTAAATATTGAAATATCTATCAATAAATCTTTACAATTAATATCAGGTATTGACGGATACAATGATTTAGATTCTAACTCATTTCTGGATCTATTTTCTAACATAAACATTGATCCGTCAACATTCACGGGCAAATATTTGCTCTGTTTGATAGCAACTATCTCATTCATTTTTGTCGTCGTCATCATTGTTGCAGCTGTCTTCACTCGCCGCATTTGTTTACGCAAGAGGAAGAAGCAAACGCTTGTTTTGCTGAAAAAACAGAGTTTTACCAACAACACTAACAACGGCAACAACAACTCTAATAATAATAACAACAACAACAGTTTTTCATCCGATTTTCCAGCAAATGTTAAAACAACATCGAACAATTTTACTTTGCAGATAAAAAACTCAAACGTTGAAAACCATTACGCTACTGTTAAAAATAACAAAGTTAAAACACCCCTAGACAGAAGTAGTCCCTACTTTAAAAGTATCGACATCAGTAACGAGATAAACCTGGTATCAACGGCAATGCCCATGACGATGACAACAAATAACGACAACTATTATAGCCCCAGGTTAGCCACATTGAAAATGAACGGCATGTCGACGTTTCAGCGGCAACATCCGCATCAGCAACTTCAACAGCTTCATCAACAACAAACGCTGCTGATTCAGCAACAACCGCAACAATTCAGTAACAAGACCATGTGTCATGAAGATGCACTGAAACACCTTTCTGAAAAAAATGGTTACCTACTTGTCAAGGTATGTTTTGTTTTATTTTATCAAATGTTATTAACATGTGTTAAATTTAAATAACCTTTATCAACTTTAAATTTTCAAGTACATTTTTTGTTCATTGTTGTTTTAAATATTGTCTGGCATTTTTATTTTGACTGGAAAAATGTGGGTTATGATTGGCAACAAATTATGATAATATGTCGACTGCAGTACAATTCATTTTAAAACAACTTCATGAATAATATTGATAGCTTTTTTCTGATTATTAAAAATATTTTTGCTGCTTCAGTTTATGATGACTTTGATGTAAAACAAACAAATTATTCGCTTGAGCAGTTGAATAAATTATTTTAATTCTCTGTTTTCTGTTTACACAGAAATCAAACAAACTTAGCTGAACATAAAGATTTGTGCATACCTGTTGACAACGCTAGGATAAGCAATAAACATAAATTCGCTGCCTCTTTTAATTTTTTTATTTCTTGCAAGCGAAAAATCTTAAATGGCTTCATTTAAAATTTTTTTCCAAATGTTTTGTTTCTGATAGAATTAGACGCTTTAATTTGAATAACATTCACATAAAAAACATGTTAAATTGCATTAAAATCAACTTTTCAATCTCTCGCAACTGCTTTCTAAACATTTTAACAATTATTTCAACTTATATCATATTCCAACCAATTATTGTTTGTTCGTTGAAAATTGTAACTTAGCTAATTGTTTGCCTCCGTCTGTTTTTAGTTATTGTTTTACATTTCCTCTTAAGAATATTCTGTGAATGATGCCAATAAACTTTCTTTAGGCGGAAGTCAATTTCTGAAAGTTAATTACGCAAGGGAAGCAATCTACGAAGATAAAATTCATCTAAACAATACCAGAATGTTGTTTGCGAAAGTTTCATATTTTGAAAAAAATGTTACGCGAGCATCATAAAAGTTGCAACAAATCGCTCCTCTCCTTCAAACAATTGTTCGTGACAGAAAGCATTTGTTCTACCACTACAAATAACGTTCCGACAGAGAAAGACCCATAAAATTAATAACCTCAAGAAAGCCTCGCCATACTTTGTTTACTATTTTGAAAAATTATTGCAAATACTTTTCTCAAAGTTACTGAAAAAGTTGCCGAAAACAAACATTTATTTGAATATACATGTATATAGAGATATATGCAAATGTGCAACAGTCTGAATAAACATGTAGGTTTATAAGTGGAGTCTGTGTGTGTGTGTGTTGTGTGTGTGTGTGTGTGTGTGTGTGTGTGTGTGTGTGTGTGGCGTTTTAACTTTAACATAGCGATTTCGTGAAAAGAGCTAAACTTGGTTGCCAGTTTTTTATTAATGAAAACAAATAATGAAAAGTGTTATTATGCAATGTGATATCTTTGTTTTTGTTTCGTTTGAATGATGGCATTGCATTATTTTTTATCGTTTGTTATATATACAAATAAAATTTTTAATTCAAATTTAGTTTTCTAACTCCTTTTTATGAGTTTGTAAACTTACAATAATTAGTTACAATATTTCAGTTGAATTAATATTCTTCAGAAACAACAAAGCTTCATGGATTGAGATCGTAAAAATTACACTTAATTTTCCCATTACTTCAAGTACATTCGTTGAAAGAAGAGGAGACCGAACTGTTGTTTGCAATCGTTTCGATAATTTGTGTTGTTCTGCTACATTTTCCACGCAACTTGAGCTGCAATCAATCAATCAGTCAAATAAAAATATTTACTTTAATTTTTGTTTCTCTTGTATATGAGAAGAAGCAACTTGGCATAAGAATCTTCTGGTCCATTTATTTGGTGTTTGTTTATTCGCATTAAAAAAAATGTGTGTTAAATTTGACGCTTTTGATGAAGCAAGCTAAAAATTTTATGGATACTAAATACCGAAATTAATCATTTTATTAAATAATTATAATAAAAAAGGCAATGTTAATAATTAAATATCAAAATCATTAAAGAAAAAACTTCATTTATAATTTGTCGATGTTATTAAATCATGTTTTAATTACGGGTTTTTCATACAAAAGTCATCTTAAATAGAGTTAATTCGTATAACACATCTCCGTAAAAAAAATGAAGTATCACAAAACATTATCCCATTTTTTATTAAGTTACCAACAACAACAAACAACAACAATAATAATAATAATAACAACAACAGATAATCAGCTAGCACGCAACAAACCAGAGAACCACACCACACAACATAGCAACAACCACACATGCAACCAGAAACAACGGAACTAATTCAATTTATGAACAGACATTCAAATATGACAACAACAAGAAACAGTTCAAAGATGCACAACAACATAAATAACAACATTAACAACAACAATATCAATAACAACAACATCAATAACAACAACAGCAACAACGCACACATGTTAGTTCCTCGTCATCTTCATACAACAGACAGACAACTTGGCCAGTGACCACATATGCTGCTGAAAACGTGTGTTACCAAACACGTTCGCTAGACTACTAATAACATCTATAAATACACACCACACACACATACTACACCACACACACACACACAAACACACACACACTCTGTCTCACTCTCTCTCTCACAAACACAAGCGCATAAATGTAGGACACATACTTATTTAATTATATACACAAAGAAGAAAACTGCTGTAAAATTAAAATCCTCTTTTCAAGCTGTTGACATGCTGGAGAAAAATGAATGAAAGAAGAAGAAACACTTTGTAACCATGACAACCTCGGAAGGTTTCCATGGAAAAATATTTTAAAATGTTGACCAAACATCTTGACGGCTCTTCATTGTGAAAAATTTAATCTGTCTATTTATTTATCAATCTATCTTTTTGTTTCTGTATCATTTTATCTCTCTGTCCATACATACCCTTTGCAAATGTTTTGAATAAACACGTGATCATGTTAAAACTGAACATAACCATTGTATAAGATTTCAGGTTTTTGTTATATTTTTTATTCCTTTTTATACTGTAAATAATTTTTTTGATTTTCACTTATGAGACCAGACACCGTCTGTTTGTTACCATACTGACGCATTTAATTCAGTATGAATAGATCTGAAAAACCGTCCGTACATTTATTTATACAATATTTTTCATTATGTTTTGTTTTAGTAACACTGTTTAACATTTTGGTCAAAAACTTTATAAAGTCTATCAATATAACAAATTGCTTTTTTTTAGATCAGACCAAAATTTTAATTATTGTCAGAATTAGTTGGTTCACAAAAATAACCAATTGCCACATACGCACACAGTATCTCATACGCTCGTACACGCATACACGCAGACAAACAGGCAAACCACTTATATACACGCACATCATGCACACTCATCGTGTGTGTGTGTGTGTGTGTGTGTGTGTGTGTGTGTGTGTGTGTGTGTGTGTGTGTACGTCAGAAGAGTGAGCGTGAGAGCCATTTGTTTTGCCAATAATAAATCATCACTTCTGTTATTACAACACTGTTCTTTCATCATCACGCCCACACATACATTATCGTTATTTCGTTATTAAGCGTTTATATTATTAGGCAACCATACATCATAACATAACTTTAATTATCGCTTCAAAAGAATTGGCTAATTTATGGATAGTCGGTAGTAAAATAATCCTGTTCAGCGATCAAATCTCTAATCTGGATACGAAGTTTGCGATACGAAATGTTAAATATTTAAATATATCTATCTACGTTCATGAAAAACGTTCAAGGTTCGAACGAGAAGGTTTTGGAGATTGAACATGAAGATATGAATCCGGTGGGTTGGCTGGTTTGCTAGTTCCTTTGTATGCCGTCAATCATCTTATTTCCCGATGTATTAGCGTTCAACTACATCCCGCTGTTTAGCCGTGTTTTTTGTTGAACAACAACGCCACTCATTTCACTTTCAAACATAAAAATTAAAAAAAAGTTCTTATACTTATTATTTTGACTAAATTAAAATTTAAGCATTTTAGTCAAATAAAAATTTAGAATTCAATCAACACTTTAAAAACTTTCACTTACAGACTTTAAAAATTTGAACAAACCATTGCAAAAAATATTTCCTTACCGCAAATCTGATTCTCCTATATGAGAATCTATTTTGGTCTCTTCTTATTTATTGTCTATACATAACCTTTCTGCCATTTGGCATCGGCAAATTTTTATTTTCCCACACTTCACTTTAAGTGAAGCGATTATTTGTTGTGAAGATGCTATTTGTTTATACACTTAGTCCTCATTTAGAAACAACTCTGCTACACAAATTATATTTTGTCACATTATAACTTTTGTGCAAATTTTAGAAGATATATTTTATTAAATCTAATATTTCTATTACAGTTTTCATCTTATTCATTTATTGTTTCAAATTAAAAATTTTTCTAATTTATAAAAGAAAATGTTTTACTATCACTGATCCTACTAAATAGTGATTTTTGAATTCACAAACTTTTTCGAGTTTAAAATGAATGAAAAATTGTTGATAGAAAAAATGTGATATACAAGAAAGAGAATCATTGATTGGTTGGGCAAGAAGATGATTGGCACCGGTTGTTTGTTGTTTATGTTTGCGATGGACCCGGACGGCAATCGGGAATTTGATGCTTTTCAGCGCGACTTATTTATGCCATGAGTTTGATGGGCAAGCAACCGAGTTATCTGTCGTTATGTAATGTCTTGCATGTTTGTTCATTCATATTTCGCCATTCAATGTGTCCTTATTTGTTTCGGTTTTACCATTCATATTTGGTTATATTTGGCTATCCGTCCCTTAGGCCGATCATGTAAAAGTTTATTTCTTTACATGTTTTATCAAAAAAGTTTTTTATTTGAAAGGCCCAACTTTTGTCATGTAAAAAGAAGTTAAAATTAAGTTTTATTTTAAATATTTAAAAAAAATCATAACAGATTGAAACATTAAATCGCTTTGTTTGCATCAAAGTGTTTAGAAAGTTTACAATCTATTGAAGATTATTGCGATAGTTGTCACAATTAAATAAGAGTTGTTATTTTATGTTTGTGAAGTATTACCAGATCTGTGTTGCTTTAATTTCAATAGACATGATTGCAATTTGATATATAAATAATAAACTATTTCAGTTTGCGGACTAATATAAAAAGCGTCCTTATTTTATGATAATAAATGTATCATTTCATTTTTATTTCATATCGCTGTCAAGTTACGCTTGACAAAAAATTAAGTGATCCAACAACAAAAAACAATGGATACAAAACGAATGAGCGATTTGACATGATATTTTATTGAATTTCAAATCGGAAGGATGTTTGGGGTTGATAGAAAAAAATCGAATGTTGAATATGATTGATTTGAAGGTGTTCAGTTTGTTCTCCTGTGTTGGGTGTTGTGAAATGTTTATTATTTCAAACTGAATAAGTTTATTTTATTAAAGGAACAAATAGTTTATGTTAGTGTTTAGCTTGGTTAAGTTTGAAATTTTAATGAATAATAATTTGAAAAATAAGTTTTTAAATTCTGCATGTTTAGCATGGTTAAGTTTGAAATTTTAATGAATAATAATTTGAAAAATAAATTTATCTGAGAAACTTGAGTTAAATATGATTTGGGAATACATTGAAAAATTGATATAGCAACTTGTAAATTAAAAAATTTATACTTAAATGAAGATACTGTTGATTTTGATCAATTTTAAAAAATTTAAAATTTTTTAACATTTGAATAGTTTTAGGCTTAAGTATTTTATATCCAAATAATTTTTTGAAGACATTTAAAAACTAGGTAAGCAACAAGAAAAAAAAGAGTGAAATTGAAAAAAATGCCAACGCCTATAGATAGAGATGTTTGCTGTATCAGTAGTCTGTCTAAAGGATATCAAATCCAAGTGCAGAAGATTTTTGTAATGTTCGGTCGGTCGTTTATTGTTACAAGGCAAGCACACAGTGCACGCAACAACAGGCGTGTTGGAATGTTATGTGATGCTTCATAGTGATACATTTATGAGTTTTTACTGCACTGTTTTTTCTTTCAAATTCCTCCTCTGCTACGAAACCCATTATTTTTGGAATTTTGCCGATCATTCACGAAGAATAAAAAGCAATATATAAAATGAACATAAATTCAATTATTGTCCCATAACTTCGGTGCAAAATGCACATTACACTAAAACAAGTTATTAAAAGATTGTATGGCACAATTATGCCACATTTATAAGCAAT